CGCGTGTATGAAATTCTCGAAGAAAAATTTTGCGCCGTACGCAAAAAATGCGACAGTAAAAAGTATGATAACAATAAATAAATAAATATAATGTGGGGATGAAAAGTCTTGATCGAGCAATAATTGTTAGTGACACTCTTAAGACAGAAACGTCTCCAACTTTTATTTCTTAGGTTCCGGTTCCGGTTCCGTTTCCGTTTCCGGCTCCGGATTCCGGATTCCGGCTTTTCCATACGCCCCTTATTTCCGTCAATAACTGTAACAATATGTAATGTGAAACTCTGTAAGAGAAAAAAGTGAACATAAACGACCGTGAAATTAATGATAAACAAGAACAACTGAATACAACAGCAAGGCGACAGAAAACCTTAACCTGTCGGGTAACATGCAGGAACTTTATAACCTGAACTGTATAAAATAATTCAGTAGAAAGAACAAAACTGTAATAATAATAACAATTGGTACTGGTTAGAGCCAAGTGTGTAGCTTTCAATATGTCATTGATTATAAATCTAGATGTATGTTGTATACGGTAAATGCTTTCGCCAGTTGCACAGTGCGTGCTCAGTTTGAGTTTCAGCCTTACATTATGAAAATTTACTCATTGTGTATTCGCGCTCGCGAATGTGACGAAGTCGAAAAAAAGTACAAAAAATAAAAGCATTGCTTATTCTATCTTTTATGGCTCTCTATGCACATGTTTGACATCCCTGCTATTTCTACATTGTTGTTGTTGTGTTATTTGTACATTGTTCGGTATCCGACTGATCTTCCGGTAAAAAGTCCAACGAAACAGACTGCGACGGGTCGCGTACAGTACCCTTGACTTGGGTTGACTCAGCCTAGTCCCTAGGCGTTCTCTCTTGATCTGTTCTCCGCGCAAAGTCTGGGAGAGAGCGGACGAGAATCTCTCGGTGACGTCACAGCTCATGGTAGAGTCCAGGAATGACCGAGCCGAAAACGCCTGGGGACTAGGTTGGGGTTGACTGTAAATTGGGATCGAACCAGCCGGGCCGGACGTTCGATTGATTGCTTTTAGGCGGGAGAACCAGTGATAAAAGCACACGCAAGATTTTAACCAATCACACAACGCCAAACGTGAACGGAGAGGACGTTGAGAATTGAGAGAAGGGGTTGGGGGCGGGTTATGAATGAATTTGGACTTTTCGCAAAAAGGCTGTTGTGATTCGCGTGATCATGGAGATCCACACAGACTTCCTATGCCTGTTTCAGACCCCAGACAGGACACTCACACGACGGAACCAAATGCTCCGAGATGATGATATATTTCGCAAGGTGGAACAAAAAAACAAAAAAACAAAGACGGTCGGCTCCTTTCCTTTCTAATTCACCTTTGACCCGGACACGTAACAAACAGATACTGTAATATTCAGTGAATTTAACTGAAAAATAGTGTTTTCAAAAATAACAAGTCGCATAAGCAAACCTTTAAGTGTCTTCGATAAATTAGGCTTGCGCTCGAAATGTAGGGGGGAACAGCGTTTCAGCACACAGAGTGGAAAAAAATGCAACGTCACAGGGGGTGGCATGCTGAGAGTGGGTTGTAATTCCAGCAGAATAAGTTCCATGTCTGCAATCGAGTGGCCAGGTTGATTAAAGTGGGAAGAGACTGCTGCCCTCCCCCTACCCCCTCCTCCCCGCCAGGGGACTGCTGCTGTGGCGTTTGCGTGGAGTGGATTGTTTGTTGCCTGTCTACGTTCTTTAAAGCGTTCGCGAAGTGTGCGTTTGGTTTCACCTATATATTGTTTTTTTTTTACATCTTTTACATTGGATCATATATGTTAGGTTTGTTGAGTATGGATGTTTTCACAATTGTCGCGAATTATTATCGCAACTTCGCACGGCCCATGTACGATACACGCTTTAGCTACCCGAAAGTAGCGACCTCCTAAAGTGGCGACCCTCCCCTCACAGCCATCCCCCCAATCCATTTATTAATGCTTTTAGCAAGTCACGTGCAGCGTAAGTGAATTGATAGTTCCTTAATATAATGGGCAAACAGGATTCATTTCTTTCAAATCCCAAGATCAGCATATCGTTCAATTTTATGAAAAATATTCTACCAATACAACACGATTCATGTCAGTAAAATGTACTCTTAAAATTTCACTTTTCCTAATTTCTTTCAAAGACTTCAATTTTCCCTGACTCGGAGTGGAATTCCCTGAGTCTTCCCTGACCTTGAAGAAACTTTACAGTCCACCCCGACCATTTCCTGACCTGTGGCAATCATGTGCAAAAGACTTAAACGAAAATGAACGATACCAACACCACAAAACAACAGCTAACCAACAATGGCTTACGCAACATCAGGTAACACCCAGAAATAGTAATTTTGTCGGTTGCATTGTTCACTTTTTGGTAAAAATGAAGTCTGGGGATTTTCTTGGAATCTGATGTACACTGCTTATGTATTCAGTCAATGATATTTTATTGATTGCGACATCACACTTCGTCTTACGAGTCACAAATACATCGCAAACTGTACGATCCTAATTTTAGGTGATTACATGAGCACTTTTAGCGACTACATGATAATAGACAGCATTGAACTAACTACCCTACGTATTGTATCTAAATTGATTACTTTTTTATATTATATCGATTATATTTACGTCGTCTCTAGGTTATACGACTTACAAATCTAGTTTTAGGCTAAAAGCACTAGGATGCTGTCTATAATAGCGGTGCAATTACTTGTCCCTAGAGGTTTATATCGGCTTAAAAAAAATTAACGATAGAAAAATGCTAAATATTAGCGACACAAGGGCAGGTATGGTGAACCATGGAGAAAATGATGTCGGGTCATGAAAATTGTCGGGTGATGAGATTCAGTTTTTGTCGATGGATCTTAAAAATGTGTTGTTCCCTTTGCTTCGAGTACTATAGAGCAAAGCTATAAGTTGACACTCTTGGAGTATACTAACGAAAGCCAAAGCCCCACTTTAACAGTAATGTTTCAACTACGCATTTGCTAATTGTGTTGTAGGTTGCTACAGAGAATGCGCACAGCCAAAGCTACATCCTGGTCATGTTCAATCTAGTGCCGAGGGCTTTTTCTTGCCCCTACCATTTTCGAAGGGAATAGAGCATGAGTTTGGGTCAAAGCTGCAGGTTTTCGTTTTCGGAGTTCAGTTTACGCCTTTTTTTGTAATATTGCTAAAGAAAGAAATCATTTGACCCTTTTAGAGCATTTATCCCTCACAATGGTTCAACCTGGAAGCTGATTTAATGCATTAAACGCCAGATAGTGACACTTGAGTGACACATATCAGACTTGCGCAGTCCCTCTCTTTTGCTGGAGACCAAACGGGTTTCCAAGAGTTCGAACCTTAAAAAAAGGAGGACAAGGATGAAATGAGACATTTGATAGGACATAGAATAAACAACGGCTTAAAAAAAAGTTTCAAAAGACTTTAGGTCAGCGTCCTGCACGCGTGCGAATACTCACTTAAAAGCGAGATCTTAAGTTGCGACTTCGGATTGATCTCTCTAAAAAAGTTGGAAGTGACAAAGGGTAGGAAATTCAGCCACAGTTTCGGCCACCTTTGGAAATTGCCGTTTGTAATCCACGTTCATCACTCCCATACTAAACCATTCTTATTTCGTTATAGTTTAACATACACTCTAAGGCATCTTCCTAATTTTAACTAAACACATTATTCTGAGGTTTTTCTTCAATTTCAAGACAGCTTTGTACGTTGAAAAAGCGACGCAAAATATAGTGTTCATAAACGCACGCAAAGTTGTGAACAGTCGCTAGCGTTAATAGGCCATTTGCATGATACCGTCACTTTACTACTAAGACCAGAATCCTTTTCGCTTTTCTTTCATATTAAAATTTGGTAATCCAAGCGAGGTTTAAATAATAAAAGCCTTAATTTACACAAGAGAGAAAAACCCTGACGGATTCTGGTCGTAGTAGTAAAATGACGTCATCGTGCAAATAACCTATTGGCTCGTGCAACTGGGCCGAGGTTGATTCGAACTGTATTATTGGACTGTTTTGGGGGACGCCTTTTGACCCAGTTTTCGGCGCAACCTCGTAATAGCCAAACAACGAAGCGATTACGTCTCCAAAACAGTCCCATGGTGCAATTTGGCACAGTGCTGACCCAGTCTCGCGCGCCAAATTAAGGTAAAGAGAACAGAAGGGAAGAGACGAGACGGGACGGGACGGGACGGGACGGGACGAAACCAGACGAGAAGAGAAGAAAAGAGAAGACAGAAGTCGCCAGATTTCATCACACTTACCTAGTTCCCAACACAGCTTTCAGAGATTCCAGGTCCCAAGATACATTTGTCTTGATTATAAGTATCCCTCCAGAGTTCATTATTTCCCACAGGCGCACCAACCACGCTAAAAAGACAGAAAACGCAAGTAAAATATTGATAAGTACACCTGTAAATGGAGATATCATAAGTCTCTTTGTGGTGAAAAATAGTTCCTTTAAAGCGAAAACAAGACAATACAAAAAGTAATTTAATTCACGAAGAACAAGATGTTCTTCTGAATCGACTTTTTAAGTCAAGGAACAAAGACAACAATATCATCAACAACGAAAAAAAAGTTAACCTCGGAAAGAAAAAAAAGGAACCTTTGGTTCCCGAGAATCTTTTCAAAGAATGTTTCCAGCATTTCGGGAAACTAAACTGTGTCCCCCCCCTCCACCCCCTCCCCTTAGCCAACATTTTGCCTTTATTGTTCATGTTGGCTTGGGGGAGGGGTAGGTGAGCAGTCTCCCAGAAACGTATAATGACCCAAAACTTCTTACCTTTGGGATTCGACAGACGTTGAAGACTTAACATAACGATCAAATCATAAACACCAATCTCATTTGGCAGCCAGGTAAACTGCAAAAGAAAATAACAAAACGGAAATAAAAAAATACTTCAACAATAACAGCCTCTACTTCCGGAACACGCTAGGCGATTCTTTGCAAGGTTCTGATGGCCTGCATAACGAGAGCTTTATGAGCAGAGCGAGGTGTACGCGGCATTTCGCGCGAAGCGCGAGACGAGGGGAGGTCTGGCGAAAAGTAAGGGTTACAATGTATATATTTTTTCTTTTATAAAGGGCACTGATTCCTGGCAGGTCAAAATATTTGCCAGACAAACCAGAAATTTGTTTGGCAAACATTTCGTGCATTTTGTCATTCTATTTCTTCAGGTCTGCCATGGATTAAATGCTTCACTATGAAGCGAAGGCTACATTGACACATTTCTTGAACAATCCTCCTTAGAATTCCAAATAGCAGTGTGAACATCCAGCTGTTAAACTTTAAACATCACGTTTTGTGGCAATGTCAAACAATTCGTTTTCACAATAAGGTTCAAAAATTAGTCCCCGTTCATTGTGTCGTCACGCAACGCTCCTCGAGTGTGTTGCGTGACGACACAAAATCGGCTGAGTAAGAGACTATTTAAAAATCACCATTAGACAAACCTGCTGAAACAGCACTCGATCAACATTAGCCTTGATCTCGTCAAGCGAAATATTCACGAAAGATAAATCTCTAGCGCCCTTGATCTCTAGCGATTTTCCTTGCTGAATCTTCATAGCAGCGTCCAGCAAACGTCCACTGTGGTCGATAGCGATCACCTGTCACAAAGATAGAAGAGGGACGCAATAGGGTCTTCAATCCCTTCATCCCGGACCCCAATTGTCTTCTTCAATCCCGTAATACCAATGCTTATTTTAGGCATCCCGCAACCCGTGCTAACTTTAAATCCCAACTAACAACGAGAGTTGAAGGAAAAAGTTTCAGAATGTACAAAATTTGCTTTCCGGACGCAATTGCAAGCAAGTTGCGCCGTTGAGCATGTAACAAAGCCCTCTACTTCACCGCTATCGCTTGCTCTGCTAAGACAAGTATCGCACCATGTAAGGGAATCCGCATTCTGGAATTCGGAAAAACTTTGGTTGTAGAATCCGGAATACAGCTCAAGGAATCCTGAATTCCACTAACGATTGGAATCCAGAATCCAAGTTTCACCGATCAAGAATCCAGTACCTAGAATCCGGAATTCAAGGCTTAGAATCCAGAATCGAAGACTCTCTTGTCAAGTAAAACACCTCACTTTTTGGTAGGATTGAACTGAATCCACGTCATTGCCCGAAAAGAAGTGAATTAAACGAGCAATGACTTTGTGGTTACCTCGCTCAAGCTCTTGCTCAGCTCGTAGGAGAATCGACCCACAGAGCACATAATGTCGAGGGCCTTCTTCACGGGGCAGCCATTGTGTTTGTGAATGGCTTCTTTGCAAATCTCTGCAAGCTGCTCACAGCAATCGGCGTCACTTTCAACACCCTGTTAACGATATGCAAAAACAATGAGATCAACTTCCGGTCACTGCACGTAATCCAGGAGATTTATAAGCAACAAATCACGACGGCGAAATTCAAATGGTAAAGGAAGTGCAACAAAGTGTTGAAGAGTCCAGAAAAGCTAAAATAGTGACTTAACGTTACAAAGTATTACGCACTGCTCTGCCTTTCATTACATGTAATCAACATAGTGTCACCTAAGGTCACACAATTAACAAAGTTAGCGCGATATAACGTGACAAGACACACTGTTTGACAGCACTAACAGGTATAACATATGACCGTGCAGCCTAAAGAGACGGGTTAATTAATTAATTGGCGTGAATAGCATTACATAATCAATTGTAGCGTTAGCCAGCCGGACAGAACTATACCGAGTGACACATGACAATGCAGACTAACGTGACGGACTAATCTTTACTGGCGTGACTAGCACGATGGTATTGAAACCAAACCACTTTGATCTACCGTTACAGAATTAAGTGTCAGGGTGACCTTATGTGCCTTTATAACGAGGTTAAGGGCCCGAAATGGCGAAATGCAAGGGCAACTTAGCCTGCGATCATGGCCTCTCCTTAATTTCATTTCTCTACTCCTTCACTGATCTAGCCTGTTCCAGGCTCCAAGGAAGTAATGTACAAAGATCGTTAAAACTGATGCGAAAAACACTCGGGGACTGGAGAGAGAGGAGGCGCAACTGCCCCCTTCCCCAGATCCCGCGCGTCCTATTTTCGCCTGACATGTTTGCATAGCGTCCCTACTATCTGAGAGTCTGGCACATATTATTCCTGGTCACAAGTAGAGGGCTATTTTGAGGGAAAAAAGGAAGAGTTCAAACCCACAGGCGACGTTGCAGCCGTCGGAAGACCTCACGGGATTGGTTAGGAAAACCATGAACAGACAAAGTTTACAATGTAACCTAGCCCGAAATCAAACGAGCGACGACATATAGGGACCCAAATAAACTAGATGTTTTGAAGAGCTGCAAGGCTACTGAAACTCACCAGAAGGTCTCCATAGTTAGACAACACTTCAGAGTACAGAAAATCCTCGGCATCATCATGGTACTGCGTGTTTACAGTGTTGACGTATATCTCGCTGTCGCCGATGCCAGGCAAACTGATAGGGTTCTCTGTAAAAAAATAATAATAAATAAATAAATAAATATTACAACTGCTTTTTTTTGAGGGGGAGAGAAGGGATGGCGCAGAGGAAAGAGCACTCGCCACCTATCACTGTGGACTGGGGCAGAGGCCTTGCGTTGACACCATATATCGGTTTGGTTTGTTGTTAGTTCTCGCCGCTCCAAGAGGTTTTTCTCCGGGTGCTACGGTTTCTGCCTCCGAGAAAACCCAACACGTCCAAATCAAAAGTCGATATCTGAAAGTGTCCACTTCGTTGGGGTCACTTAGAGAGCCACTGTCAAGTTTCTAGCCTGCGAGCAAGCTCTCCATTTTATGCGAGCGAAACGGGCCGCGAGAAAACGCGCGAACGAACGGCAAAGCTGTGAGGGGTGGAGGTGGAGGAAATTTCCACTTCAAGTGACGGCTGGCTCTAGCATCTATACGTTGGATCCGGCAAGAAGGAACCAGTCGGTTTTACTTAGGCGTTGAGTGGATCTCTGCATTCAAAGGTTTTTATTTAACTGTATATATCGGGTTTAGTCCTATCAAGGGCGCTCTATAGTTTAAGAGTACCCACTTACCCCTCTCCTAGTGCTACCCTTCCGCTTACCTTCCACCCCAACCCCCAGCACAAAAACAGGGGTTCCTACCAGACGCACCGGAGGACTGTTAGAAACTGACTGAGCCAATCGGAAACCAAGATGCTGAAAGAAATGGCGGCGAAACGCAAAACGGGCGAATCGTGAAGCTTCGTCTCCGGTAGATACCCAGCTGCCACCCTAGAAATGAAAATCAATCGGCCATTAAATTATGCTAACAAGAAAGGCCCGAGAGCTCTGAGGCACCAGCTTTCAGTCCTGTACGGAAAAATTTGTCACGTGAATTATCTCAAGTCACGTGACAAATAGCGTCATTTGAGAAAGGCCTTAAGATGGTTCTGTAAGCTTGTGAGCGAAAAGCATTTTTTCTTTGGCTGGCGTAAAATGCACCTACTTTGTTATGTAAAAAGACATTTTGAGGCTCAGTAGGACTGGGGTCTGCGAGCCTCAGTTTGGTCTAAAAATAGAAGGGGGGGTGGGGGGATCCGCCACTGATATTTGCAGGACCACGGTTTGTTGAGATCCAGAAATTTTGCTTCCATGACAACGTGACGTAACGACTTCTCCTCTCCATTGCTGACAGCTAGGAACTTATAATATCGAAGGTAACGCTTTGTCGAGTACACAAAACAAGCGGAAAGTACTTCCAAAGGTTAAGAACTCAATCCTTATATATCTGAGGCTCTACGTACCATGATCATGTTGTGCCTTCCATCAAAACAGGGCGAAGAAAAGTCGTCATACAGCATATGCGATTTAAACTCACAAAAGCCATTGAAATGATCTTCCACCCATTCCCACACATTTCCAAACACGTCACAAAAGCCAGCCTGCGTCGGTGGGTACATGTTGACGGGCTGAAACATTCCAAACAAAAATAACATTGCTCGCCTCCCATTTAGGAAGAAAATCATGATTGGACTTTCAGCATCACGATAAATATTTTATAAGTCTTGTACAATTTTAAAATACTTCTCGCCATTTTAGGCTTTCGCTTCGTAATTCCTGAAGCTGGAACGAAGGCCATTGTAAGATTAATTTTCCTGTATTTCAGTGCAAGGTCTAGTTCTAATTTCGTGAATATTTGTGTCAGTAAATATACATGTTACATATTTAAACTGCTTTTGATGGACGCAACGAGCACACACAAATTTTCATGCGTATGGCCATTATGTGTGTGTACGATGAGGATAAGATGAAAATGAAGATGAGGTCCGATGATGATGATGATGATGATGATGACGATGATGAAGTTGATGATGGGGATTATGATGACAACGGAGACGGCAGTACTGTTTGAAGAAGAAAGAAAGGTGAACAACTCACAGTGGAAGAACCATATGCCATGTTGATGTTGGCTTCTATTTTATCCTGGTAGATGATATCACACGAGGTTCCAACTAAAGGAGATTCCTGTTGAGGAAAATTTGTGTCCATTTGTTATTTGAACCGACATCATCTATTCTATGTAATAGTGACAATCGACTTGTTTGAGCATAACAAACTACTGTGAAATCAAACGTAAGTTTCATAGGGACTTATAGGAGTAAAAATTCTCCTCACGAGTATCATACTACATATATGAAGAGTGTTGTGGAGAAATTGGTTGTAGAAGACTCAATTGCTTTGTCCTGTACCTGAGGTCCCCGTATAAGGTGATGCTCGGCCTCTGTCGGCAGACGGAATTCTGGACCCTTCCAGGTACAGTAAGCTTTGGCCTCGTGATAGTTCACTTCAGCAGGCCAATCCATAGGCATGTCTATTACTTCAAACATGGCACGGTACCTGTGTGGATGGAGAAGGGCAAGATCTGATCAACTTTTTTAATTTCAAAGTAGCTATGGAGGGATTTAGGTCAGCTTTAATTCCTCTGTAGACCAGATCCTAGCGTGTGATTGTTCAAATTTAACCTTTTTCTCAGTATTCTTTATATCTAGCTGGATTTTGAAAACGTTACCGCCAAATTGACCTCTGCCGTCGAACCGTTTTTTTGTTGTCAACGTGGCCATTATAAAAACTAAGAATGCAACCATAGCTTTTTTTCTGTTCTCCTCCTTTCTTCCTCTGCGCTCTTTCTTTTTCTCCTTTCCTTTTCCTTTGTTGGTGACTTGAAGTTTATAGTGCGCAACATACCTGCCTATTACACTCAAACTGCATATTTCGTGAGGTTCGTTTTCAAAAGATCGGCTAGATTAACAAGTAGAAATAGCTTTTTGAATTTTTTTTAATTATGAACCTTCAGATTTGAGTAAAATGACACTCACTTGTAGGGACATTCCAACTCATCGTGGTCACCGTTCTCGACATGGCCATTAGGCGAGCCATTCTGAACATAAGTGCCATTCATGGCGCCATTGACGGTTCCATTTCCATGTCCATTCAGGACACCATTGGAAAACCCATCATGATGGTCGCCGTTTATGGAACCGTTTGAAATTCCATTCAGAACTCCGTTTCCAAGCAACGGATTATGATTGACATCTGTCAATCCCAGGTTGCAATGGGAGTAAGTTGCCAAGTCCGAGCCACCACCGGACTTGCATTGATTGCTGCAGACCCAAAAACTTGGATGGTGAATCTGACGGAACTGTTTCCACCGCCAACCTTGGAAGGACAAAAAAGATGTGAGTTGGAGACCTTCTACCACGGGCTCGGACGCGAGGAATATGAGATAGCATGGGAAATAAAACTACAGCAAGCAGAAGGGAAGTAGAATAGGGTCCGAAAGGGGCCTCCTGGTCCAGCATTCGCGATCCTTTTTCACGAGAATCTCGCGTCCCGAACTTTCATCATTGCTATCCCGAATATCTTTCCCAATCCCGCATCCCGTGCCCAAAGTTAGCGAATCCCGCGTACCGGGTAGCAGTCAAATCCCGTAACGTTTCTCGACTTTCCGTACCGTATGTTGGTTAAATCCCAGTTCACGGGGATACCCTTCCAGACCCGATCAGAAGCCTTACCCAAAACAGTTTACCCCCCTCTAGGTGGAAATATTTGGGGCCGATCGTACCTAGTGCCCGCAAAGGTATGAACGGTGAAAGCCGTTAAAAATCTCGATCAAATCCCGGTCCTTCTCCTTGATCTTACAATACAGTGAAGAAGCAAAGGTATGTTTAAATAGACAGCCGAGGGGAGATTTTAAGCCACTAGCTTACAGGTCCGCTGAGGCAGAACCGTAAGAGTATGCTTTTCATGAAGTCCCTGACCGTTTTGAAGCAGGTTCGAATGTAAAGCTAGTGACATTTTCGTTGACAACGGTTTAGTTTAACTGCGTTTAAGTTCCTACAATTATATTGAACTCAACTGAATTGTCTATATCAGTATTTTAAAAATGTCAGACCCACAAAACGATCTTGTGGTTATGAGGGTGTTTCGAAACATTTTCGACCAGCACTTAAGGGTGGATTTCCACTGTCGCGTAATTTGCGTAAAACTTACGTTCCCAAATAAAATAGAGGCAATGTATGTCGCGAGACAACGTTAATGTCGAACCTCGCTCAACTTCATTTCTCAGTCATTTCAAGACCCTGAATATTGGTCTGGCTCCGGGTCGCCCCGTGTAAGGGAATCAAGGACACTCTTGGATTCTGGATTCCACGCCGTGGATTCCGGATTCCAGCTACTGGTTTTAGGTCTTTGTCAGTGGAACTTGGACTCTGGATTTCAATTGTTAGTGGGAGTCCGGATTTCTTAAGCTGTATTCCGGATTCCAAAGCCCAGGATTCCAGATTTCACAAGCACATTTTCCCCCGGATTCTGGATTCCGTAAGCAAAATTTCCCAGATTCCGGAATCCCGACTCCCTTACACGGGACAACCCAAGAATCGAACCCACGACCCCCCACTCTGCAGCCAATCCCTCTACCGACTGAGTGAATCCTGCTGCGGAAAGTGATTCTTACCTTCTTTAGTCCAATACTTGGAATTTTCATACTCTCCGCTGTTCACAAACTCCAAGTACTCGCGGTTAGTAATCAAGTACTTTGAAGCCTTGAATGAAGGAACCCTGCAAAGAACCAGACGAAATATGTCTCATACATGTACAAAATGTTAAAGGCTTCATGCAATCGCTACATGTCAAAAAAAAATATCAAAAGAGAACTTCATTTTCATACAGTAAATGATTCACGCTGCACTGCATAAGAAAAGTTCCACTAAATGCAAACGGAATTTTGGACCAATTTTCATCTCTATTAGATTCCTCCAAAATTGTTTTTTTGCTTACTACCCAAGGAATATGCGTGTTGAGGCACTATAACTATTTTTGGTATTATGATCAGTATGTTAATGTGCGTATATTTTATGATCCAGAGTGGTGCACTCACGTAATCATTTCTTAGTTACAGGTTTGCATACTTTGGTTTTCTGTACTTGCAATTATTTGTGTTTGTCTCAGTTTGCTTTTTCTGAATATTCTTCATTTTCAAAGAATTGTACAAGTTATCAAGGACACTTTCAGCATAAATAAAACTATCAGTAGGTGGAAAATGATCGTCTTGGCAAGTGTATATAGGTCCTAAATAGGACTGTTAAAGTATGTTTTGACAACAGGCTGTGCAATAGTACGTAAATGAATTGGCAATAAATTCATTAAGAGTTATTTTGGTGAGTGTATGTTCAGTGTTTGCCGAAATTTCTGGACATTTTCAAATAACAATTGTGAATTAAAATACTTCATATTAATTAGGTATGAAAATTGAGAATTTGTAATTATGTTGAGTTAATACATTCTTATGTTGCATACATTACTCATATACCACTGTGCAATCTTACTGATAACAATTAATTCTTTTCTTAACAAATTGAAACTTACATAATAACAGCTAACATTTCACAAACAAAGACACTTCACACACAGATTTTTTTTCGTACATGTTAAAACTAAAGCAACTGAACATTTTAAATTTTGTGCATGAGGTGCAACAATTTCTTCCAATTAATTAGAGTTAATTAGAGTTATTTTTCTAACTTTTCAAGTGAAATTACTTAATGATTACCAAGGTAGTTGAGACCAAGAAAACTTTTTTGACCTTTCATAACGAACAGAGGTTAGCTTTAAAAAGACTTCAATGCGTGTTTGCCGTAACCATTTGGAGATCCTCTAAAATGTGTGAGCCAATTAAGAAGAAGAGTTAAATATTCACTGTTGATGTTTTTATCAGGCCAATAATAATTGCAAGGAGGTACAATAAAGTTTTTAAGTACTTCATTATGGACAGGATGGCAATTCCATCACAGGCCATACTCCCAGCAATAATTACTCCCAGTACAGGTAAACTTTGGTGGAGGAAGACGAAGTGATCGCATTGTTAAAAGATTTAATTTTGGACCACCAGATCCAAAATTTAAACCAGTTTCCTCCACATCATCACAAATTATTGTTGTTAAGCTGACATCACAAGTTTTGTCACAAGGATTGTATCAGCCAAGCTTTGGCACCAATCACAAAATTTATTATTTACATGACAGCAGTACACTGTACATGTACGTAATTTTCCTTTACAAGTGTCGGAGATTAAAGTCACCCTTTCTGGGACATTTACATGGACATGCAGTAATTTAGACTTTGCTTTGCTTACTTTGTCTGACTGCAAAAGGTCGACCAGGGTTGGAATCCCAAGAAAGACTCAAATATCATGGCTACTTTGCCACTTTACTTGAATTGGTAGCTAATTGTACAGTTCTACAAGAACTGTTAGGATTATGATCTGATTTTGAACATGCAGTACCGTATGATGTACGTCACACCCAGACTCACTTGACGTTCCACTGGCCATATTCGTTGTCCCAGCCATAAGACGGAAAGTTTTCTGGCTTGCCCAGGCTCACAGACTGCTCGGCTATTTCAATCAGTGGGTTGGATGAAACTGGATCTCCTGATATTGGCATTTACAAATTACAAAAATGTTCTTTGTGTATTCATGAACTCGGTGGAAACCCTTGACAACATTAACATACAGAGGGCTGAAGGGTGCAGAATTCTGCACTTGTTTTAGACCAGTTCTTGCTTAAAAAATTGTATTCATGTATATATCTGTCTTTTCATGAAAGCCTATTCTTGCCAGGTCTTTTTTAAAAGTAATTATGGTCATTCAATATTAGGTAAGCCCTTCCCAGCACTTCTAGAGTCATACATAAGTACACGACGATGGTAACGCGGCAGTGATTATGACAGTGATGATGATAATGATGATGATGATGACATCAGCAATAATCATGAAGGTTTTTTGCAGGTAGCGCATGATGATCAGGTGGTGATGATCTATAGCACAGTTTTCCATGATACTAGCTCACACCCATCCCCTATCCCCCCCCCCACCCACCCACTAATTCTTTCATTTCTTCACTCATTCACCAATTAAGGTCCATAATCCAGCAACATTCTAATAACCTGGCAAGAATACATTTTTTGAAAAGACAATTCCAAAGGAAATACATGGTACTTGGCATTTTTAGTCGTGCTGGTATCGAAAATAATTCCCAGAAGTCAGGAACTTGAAATTTACCTTGAGAGTTGTAAACAATTTCCAAAATTTCCTTACCTCAAGGAATGTCCTTTAATTGAAGTATCGTTGACATTTGACAGATTTCATTTGAAAAGTGGAAGCCGATCAACATTAAGGAAAGTACAGTGAGAGTACATGTACAGTTTAATAAATTCCTCAAAATTGCTCTTTTAAAAAATTTCATGTTGAGTGGTATGTACACGTACAGTTTTTTTATGGTTTGAATTTAATAACCACTAGTTTAATTGAGTCAATTTACATAATCAAGATTCCTAAAATTTTCTTGTTCACAGTGGAGACACGTGCTAACATGTCAAGGTTCTCAACGGAAGGCAATAATGGTTCCTTTACAGCATCGATTGAGGACAAGAATTTCTTGAAGTTTTTTCTTGATGAGCTGCTGCTCAAATTCACATTCAAGAA